GTTGGTTCTAACCACAGTCTTTCTTACTGGGGGGGGGCATGCATGCTGTTTCCTTTGTTCCCCTGCCTGATTATGTTTTGCATGTGGGCTAGGCAGGCCGATGTCAGGGATGTGTGCTTACATCAGCATGTGTTGGTTGACGGCTTCTGTCTCTGCCTGTTGTGGGGCATTATTACTGGCATACTGCAGAATGATTTGTGAGTAACGGCAGGGTTGCTGTGGACTCTGCTGCAACTGCTATGCTCTCCGCACTTGGTGGAAGGTCTTTTTTTGTACATTTGCCCTCAGAATAAACACAAAATGAGTACTGAGTAGTGATGCTGGCACTGTGCTGATATTGGCTATGCACTAATAATACCCTTAAGCTTGGCCTGCCTGTCTGTTAAAACAAAAAAAGAATTTTGTGCACCGTAAAGACTAACAGGTTTATTATGGCATGTGTATTCATGGACTAGAGCTAATTTCATCAGATCATAGAATGTTAGAGTTGGAAGGGACCTTGCAGGTCATCTAGTCCAACCCCCTGCACTCTGCAGGAGCATAGCCGAAAGATAGCCCTACATACCCGAAAGATGAATGAAGTGTATCCTCAGTTGGCAGATATAAGAAAATTGTAAATAATAGTGACAAAAAACAGAGTCTGTGTAGTTTTTATGCAAACCTCAAGATGGGCACAGTGTTCTGAATGACACAGGTTAGTGAAGAACCCAAAGCTCTTAGTTTTCCTGTATCAGATCATTTAACTCCTAGCCAGAGGTAAACCCAATAATCTATCAGGTTTGCTACAGATATAGTACACAAGTAATACTGTTAGAGAATCTCTGCTTCAATTTTAAGTTTTTATTAAAACCTGATTATTCAGCATTCTTAATACTGGCTAAATCAACAGAAAATTATGGCATCCATTATTGTTACAGAGATAAAGGAAAACAATTACATGATCCATAAAGGTAAAGATTCCCTTGCTCGAAAGCCAGTCGAATCCGACTCTAGGGTTGCGGTGCTCATCTCCGTTTCCAAGCCGAAGAGCCAGCGCTGTCCGAAGATGTTTCCGTGGTCATGTGGCCGGCATTACTAAACACCAAGGCGCACGGAACGCTGTTACCTTCCCACCAAAGTGATACCTATTTATCTACTTTCAATTTCTTGCTTTCGAACTGCTAGGTTGGCAGGAGCTGGAACTAGAGACAGGAGCTCACTCCGTCATGCGGCACCCGGGTCTCGAACTCCTGAACTACCGACCTTCCACAGCCTGCAGTTCAGCGTCTTAACCACTTGAGCCACCGCATGATCCATATCTTACCCCAAAATAAACAGGTCACAGGCAAGGACCACCTTCTGAGAGCTCCTGATCAATTTCCCCTATTTTAGCGTCATCTCCTGACAATAGCTAACTGTCCCACTTGATAAGGGTGCACATTCTTGGCTAACTAATTATCTTAAATTTCAGATACCATACTATATATACTTAAATGTCTTGTTAAAATATATAGATTGTTAGTTCATTCTTGCTACTTTTTATCATACCAAACTCTATTTAAAATAGTGATTACAAGTTTCTCGTACAAATGAATGACTTGGCCCTCAATTTACACACCCATCTTTGAATCATATCTTAATTTCTGTGAAGTTGGACATTGTCTCTCGTCCCTTTTTGGCATTTTTAGCTGGGATGCCAGGCTAAGGTTGTTTTCATGCACAAGACATATTCTGTGGGGTTTAGTTTTTGTTTTGTCAAACCTAACAACTGTTCTCCTAATGTCTGGCTATATCCTTAATAAGGGAAGAGAAAGAGGAGGAGGGGGAGATTGGATTGGAGTCTCAGAATGCCTTACAATCTCATTTCCTTCCTCTCCCCACAACAGACACCCTGTGAGGTAAGTGGGGCTGAGAGAGTTCTGAGAGAACTGTGACTGACCAAGGTCACCCAGCAGCTGCATGTGGAGGAGTGGGGAATCAAACCCGGTTCTCCAGATTAGAGTCCACTGCTCTTAACCACTATACCAAACTGGCTCACCATAGTGTGAAAAACCATTACCATGACTGAAGCCTAACTGGGTAATATCATTTTAATAAATTCTAATTCAGCACTTTCTTTTGTTGAATAGTGGTGTCTTTCAGGCCAACTGTGCCATGTTCCAGAGGACTGCACTATTCTTCCATTGGTTTCTGACTGTTGCCATTTTTGTGCCAGAATTTTGTCTGTTTGTTCTTTTGCATAGACTTGTTTACATAGAAATGGAAGTGTGTTGTTAACATGTGGTGGCATTTATTGTGTTGGAGGATGAGCAGGTAAATGAGCCCCTAATGAGATGTGGCTGATGTTATTAGGCCCTACTATTGTAGTGCTGCCTGAGTGGAAATGGGGACAGAGCTGGCATCTGGAGTTTGTTGCAGAACCTAATTCCTCGGTTTAGGTTCCTATTATGTGGCTTGTTAATGTTGCTGTGTAGCTGTTTTGGATTAGGGGGCTGTACATAAAGGAGGACTAGCCTGCAATCCCAGTCTGTGAGAGAAAATAACTATCCTTGTCCATGATGTTAATAATTGAAGATACACAGGAGTAATTTTAGCTGGGACCTGTAAATTACATCATGCTGTTTCCTGTTGCGTTCTCTTTTGGGTATGTCCAATAATAGAATACATCTGGATTCAAGTCTAGTCTTGTCATTCTGTTCCTTGGGTGGGTATTGTTGTTTTATCATATTATTGTTGTTGGCTACTGTAAATCCTTCTGGTATGCATCCTTTCCAAGGAACTGGAACTGGAGCAAATGTGGTTGCATTGCAGGGCTTGGCCCT